CCTCCTTCTCCTCCTCCTCCTCCTCCTCCTCCTCCTTCCCCCCTCCTCGTCCTCCTCCTCCTCCTCCTTGTCGTACCCATCAGTGCAGACGGCGCCCTGGGGAGGGCCATGGCCAAAGCACATGCTGAAGAGTACTTGCCAAGGGTCAAGGGCAAAACAGGGCACGGGCTAGGGCATCCTGACACGTTCATGCTGACTGCCGCAGTGATCACTATATCGGAATCGTGCGAGGAGAGCGTGAAGACCGCGATGACCGAGTACCTTGAGAAGTACAAGCCAGGGTCGCGTGAGGCCCAGAGGATGGTGGGACTCTTCAGGACGGAGAAGATGTACGACAGCAAGCAGAGAAGGTTGATCATATCCATTCGCAACCCAGTGTTCGAAGACACGCTGGTGAAGGCCATCGAGAATATGGAGAAGAAGACCGCGTTTGCGGGCCCTCGCCCCGCGGGCCACCTGGAGCTGGAGGGCCAGAAGGTGATCGAGGGGCCTAAGTGATGAGTTACCGTGTGGAACAGTGGCTCCAGGGGGTTCGCGGGCGAACAGGGTGCGTATCTTGAGTGCCTGGTGCTCTGCGTGAAGGAGTCTGGAGTGTTGGGCCACGAGTGCGGCATCAACACCGTGCTGGGCTTCTGGCACGCTGGGCCACGAGTGCGGTATCAACATCGAGCTGGGATCGTGCTGAGCCTCTCCGACCTGCAGGCACCGTGCTGCCTCTGCCGTCGGCCTGTTTCTCCCGCTCCTCCCTCCTCCTCCTCCTTTGGAAGTTTTTTTGACCAGCAGTCTTGGGCCTTGAATTCGGTTCGATGATCGTGAATTCGTGGTCTAGTCAAGCGTGTCTGCGACGGGCCCCCCTCCTGCGCCCTCTGTCGTGTCCTGTCGTCTTTCCCGCTTGCTCGCCCTTCCCGCTCCTCCTGGCCTGCGGGCTCTCCTCCCCCCCTCGGGGGCGTTTCCTGGCTCGTGACGCACGTCCCTCTTCGGAGGACGTGCGTTGTGGGCTGGGTAGCGCGCCCGCTCCCTCGCCCCTTCTTCCGCCGTCGTCCTGCTGCTGCTGGGGCCGCGTCGCAGTAAAAACAAGTTTTTGACTCGCCCTCCGAGTTTCGGGAGGGAGCCACTTCGGATACGGGCTGTGCACTGGCATCCCCCGTGCATGCACGGGGCTGCCGCTAGTGCCCCTCGTGTGATGAGGTGCCGAGCTGCAGTGTTGAGGGGTCGTCCCCATCCTCTCCCTAGTTCGAACCGTCATCGGACTCTTGTGGAGCGCCGCCGCCGCCGCCGCCTCCTTGTCGTCCTCTTCCTCCGACGTTGCGGTCAACCCGAAGGTGGAAGCGCGGCACAGGCCCAGACGGTCAAAGCTCAGCGCGGGTTGCTTGGATCCCGGGCCCCCTTCGAGACGCGAGCAAACACATGACGGATGAGTTTTCCTTCTTTTCGACCTCTGGGGGCCTTCATTTGGGCCTCGGGACCGTGAGCAAAAAGCGACTCGGGCAGAAAACAGGTCCCAGGGAATGGGTCGAGTGACGAACCGACAACACGCACCCATACCCACAGGGGGGTCGGATAGGGCTATGGGTGCGTGCTGTCGGATGGGGGTCCCCGCTCGAGCAGGAGCGTTCCCCAGGGTCAGACAACCCGCACCCATACCCAAAGCCAGTCCTCCTCCCAAGGACCCCCCTATGGGTATGGGTGTGTGTGGTTCGTTCGTTATTCAGGCCTCTGGGGGTGGACGTTGTGAACAGATCATGGCGTTGGGGGTCTGGGATCGGCGCTGGGCCCCCGCGGCGACGCCTCGGTCGCCGCCCCTGGTGCGCTCCGCGCGCCTTGGAGAGGGGTCCAGCGCCGATCCACGAGATTCGGGCGGAGCTCCAGAAGTTTGTGTGGTATTCATTGGTTGTGGTGGTGGTGGTTGTTGTTGTTGTTGTTGTTGTTGCTGTTGTTGCTGTTGCTGTTGCTGTTGCTGTTGCTGTTGCTGTTGCTGCTGTTGCTGTTGCTGTTGCTGTTGCTGCTGTTGTTGTTGTTGCTGCTGTTGTTGTTGTTGTTGTCGTTGTCGTTGTCGTTGTTGTTGTCGTTGTCGTTGTCGTTGTCGTTGTCGTTGTTGTTGTTGTTGTTGTTGTTGTTGTTGTTGTTGTTGTTGTTGTTGTTGTTGTTGTTGTTGTTGTTGTTGTTGAACATTATTAATTCTAAAGAATAATTATTGTTGGGCCCCCTGGTGCGCGCCCCCCCCGCCGCGCCTAGGCCGCAGCTACATTTTCATCATTTTCGTGAGGAAGCCTCAGAAAAGAGGGTGTGTACAGGATCCGGTTGATTTGTTGTAATCCGCTTTCCCTTGCAAGAAACAATAGAAAATGACATTTCTTGTTCTAATATAATCAAATTTCAAGAATCCCTTGCAAAAAATAAGGTAAAGTGGACATTCGCGCGCGCAAGACGAAATCCTTCCAAAACCTTAGTGTTCGCAGCGATTTTAACATAAAAACATCAAAAAACCAATGGTTTTTCAACAAAAAACTGTCAACATCTCATCCCGCGCGCTCTTGCGGATTCGTAGGAAACCCAACACTTTTTTAAACATTTCTGTCAACGGGCTTTTGCGAGCAACTTTTTCGAACTTCTGCGACAACGGTTGCGCACCTGCCAGGGCCATCATCCCTGTCAAATAATACCATGCGGGACACATTCGTTTTTTCTTCGCGCGCGCACGCCGAAATCTCCAAAAACCATTGGGCTTCTTAAGAATTTTAGCACCGCGCATCATAAAATCACACGAATCGCACCGTAGGTCCTCGAAAAACACCTGCACGACTTTTCAAAATTTCTACCCGCGCGCGCTGTCCGAATCCTAAAAAAAACCAATGGTTTTCCAACATTTATGTTACATGAGCTCGCGCGAGCTACTTTCGCACGCTCTTGCAACGGGGTTCGCGCGCCTGCCAGGGGCCACAATCCCTTGCGGTTGCGCCATTGGTTGCGCCCTCGGCCGCCGAGAATAAAACGTCCCCCTATTGGTTGCGCCATAGGTTGCGCCCTCGGCCGCCGAGAATAAAACGTCCCCCTACTGGTTGCGCCATAGGTTGCCCCAGGAGGCCTTCAAGAGGCCCCAAGAGCCCGCCGCGACGAACTCGTCTCTTTAGAGCCGCGGCGGGGAAAAGACGGTGGGTGGGCGTGCAAGCGCCGTTCCCGCCCCTCCTCTCTCTTCTCTCCTTTCCTCCTTGTCCTGCTCCTCCTCCTCCTCCTCCTCCGGCGGGGGGCGTGAGGATCCGGCATCGCTCACAACCATCGGGACAAACATCGGGACAACCATCGGAACAACCATCGGGACAACCATCGGGACAATCATCGGGACAGTCATCGGGACAACGATCGGGACAAGCACAACCATCAGGACAACCATCGGGACAATCATCGGGACAACGATCGGGACAACCACAACCATCAGGACAACCATCGGGACAACCATAGAGACAACCATCGGGACAACCATATCCTCTCTCTCTTGTGTATTCCCACATCCCTCAGGAATTTGCCCTAAAGATGTGATCAACTATCTTGTGAGTACGTATCATGTGTATCATGTGTATCATGTACCGTATGCATCATATGCAACAGATGTTCTGTGGAAGGCTTAACAACTTTTGTGGGTTAACAAGGCTTAACAACTTCTGTGGGTGTACGAACGTAGGCTTAACAACTTCTGTGGGTGTGTACTCCACGCCAGTGTAGTAGCCACGGTCGTCCGCAGGCCACGAAGTGAAGTGGCCGAACGTCATAGGGCGGGAAGCTGGGTGTGGGTGGTGGCGAAGAGTCGTGTGGATATTTGGTAGAGCTTGCACTGCCCCCCCACAAAGTGGGGGTATTGGCTGGCGTCGCATGAAAACCCTGGCACTGGTGAGAACACTGAGCGTTCGGGTAAAGTGATTGTTGTTGTTGTTGTTGTTGTTGTTGTTGTTGAATTCTCATTTCTGAAGAATAATTATTGTTGATCCCCTCTCACCGGTGCTGACTGTTTTTTCTCAATCAAAGTGTGCCCCTCAACGCTCGCACCCTGTTTTTTGACAGGGAAAGTCTTCCTGCTCAAACTGGCCCCCTGGCCCCCGGGTTACAACAACAACGGCTCCCGCCTGAGACTTCCTTACAATTTAGCCAGGGCCCCCGCTCCCGCCCGAGACTTCCTCGCATTTATTTAGGAATCGCTCTCCCGGCGCTCTGGAGTCGCGCTCTCGCTGGAGACTTGCTTGCAACTTACTGAAGAATGACCCTGCGTGGGAATTTCTTGCAATTTGCCCAAGCGCCGCGCTCCCGACACCCAGGCACCCAGGAGTCGCGCCCGTTGTGGCCCCATGTGCATGCCCTTCGTGGCCCCGCTGTCGACATTTGTGTCCCCCTCACTGTCCTACGTGGCCCAGTTGCTACCCTCAGTGGCCCCACAGTTGCCTTCTGTGGCCCCGCATTATCTGCACTACGTGGCCCCCTGTCGTTCGCGCTCTTCGTGGGCCCATACGCATTCCCTTCGTGTCCCCGCTGTCGCCCTTCGTGCCCTACTTCGTGTCCTTGTGGCCCTGCTGTCGTTCTCTCTCGCTCTCGCTTTCGCTCGTCGTCGCCGTCGTCGTCGTCGTCGTCGCCGTCGTCGTCGACGTCGTCGTCGTCGTCGTCGTCGTCGTGGTTGGTCCCCTGTCCGTCCCTCTTGGGGTCCGCCCCGCCGACGCTGCCGCTGGCCAGGCCGACGGTCCGCGGCCGCCCCGCCGCTTGCCAGGGCCCGGCCTGCAGGGAAGAAAGGTATACCCCCAAAAAGGGGTTCGATCGAGGACGAAGAGGGCGGGTATCGAGAGTTTTGGGAAATACGCGTTATTGGACACTCGAGCATACAAGGGCGAACAATCTTAAAATGATTGTTGTTGTTGTTGTTGTTGTTGTTGTTGTTGTTGTTGTTGTTGTTGTTGTTGTTGTTGTTGTTGTTGTTGTTGTTGTTGTTGTTGGTTGTTGGTTGTTGGTTGTTGGTTGTTGGTTGTTGGTTGTTGGTTGTTGGTTGTTGGTTGTTGGTTGTTGGTGTTGTTGTTGTTGTTGTTGTTGTTGTTGTTGTTGTTGTTGTTGAACTCTCACTTCTGAAGAATAATTGTTGACTCGCTTCGCTCATTCCGCCGGCCCGTGGGGGCCTCTTGGGGGCCTCTTAGGGCCTCCAAGAGGCCTCTTGGGGGCCTCTTAGAGCCTCTTGGGGGCCTTTTGGGGGCGTCTTGGGGGCCTCCTGCGGGCTCTTGGGGGCCTCTTGGGGCCTCTTAGGGGCCTCTTTGGGCTTCCTGGAGGCCTCTCAGCACCGAGGGCTCGAAATGTTGTTTCGTGCTCCCCCTCTGGGGCCGCTCTTAGGGCGCTCTAGGGGCCCTCTTGGGCCGTCTTGGAGCCCTCTTGGGCCGTCTTGGAGGCCTCTTGGGCCGTCTTGGGGCCCTCTTGGGGGCCGTCTTGGGCCCTCTTGGGGGCCTCTTGGGCCCTCTTGGGGCGATCTTGGGGGCCTCTTGGGCCGTCTTGGGGCGTCGGGAAGCCGAAAAGGTGGAAACACTAAAGTCTTTCCGAAACCTACGGAAAAATAAGAATTTTTGCATCTTGGGGCCCTCTTGAGAGTGCTCTTGGAGGCGTCTTGGAGCGATCTTGTGGCATCTTCGAGCCCTCTTGTATCATTTTGGGGGCCTCTTGGAGGCCTCTTGACTCTTCTTGGGGCTCTCTGGAGGGTCTCGAGGGCAGCGCCCAGACTGAAAACCATCTCTGATCCGACCCTGCCGAGGTATGTTTCCTGCAGGGACCCCCATGGGCCGCCCCCCGCGCGCGAAGAAGAAATATTATAAAGCAGTTGCCAGAGATCTTAGCACGCCTCTGGCCCGTTGGGCCAGCGAATTGTTGATCCCCCTTTGCCGGTGCATATTGTTTTTTCTCAATCAAAGTATGTCCCTCGACGCTCGCACCCTGTTTTTTGACAGAGAAAGTTCTGATGCTCATTACAACAAGAACGGCTCCCGCCTGAGACGTCCTCACAATTTAGCCAGGACCCCCGCTCCCGCCCGAGACTTCCTCGCATTTTATTCAGAAATCGCGCTCTCCCTTGGGACTTCCTTACGATTTATTCAGGAATCGCTCTCCCGGCGCTCTGGAGTTGCGCTCTCGCTGGAGACTTGCTTGCAATTTACTGAAGAATAGCCCCTTGCGTTGGAATTTGTTTTTACAATTTGCTCAAGCGCCGCGCTCCCGACAGCCCGGCACCCAGGAGTCGCGTCCGTTGTCCGTTGTGCGGGCCCCATTTACTTGCCTTCGTGGCCCCGCTGTCGCCGTTTGTGGCCCCCCTCACTGTCCTACGTGGCCCAGTTGCTACCCTCAGTGGCCCCATAGTTGCCTTCTGTGGCCCCGCATTATCTGCACTTCGTGGCCCCCGCTCGTTCGCTCTCTTCGTGGCCCCATACGCATTCCCTTCGTGTCCCCGCTGTCGCCCTTCGTGGCCTACTTCGTGCCCTTCGTGGCCCTGCTGTCGTTCTCTCTCGCTCTCGCTTTCGCGTCGTCGCCGTCGTCGTCGTCGTCGCCGTCGTCTTCGACGTCGTCGTCGTCGTCGTCGTGGTCGGTCCCCTGTCCGTCCCTCTTGGGGTCGGGTCGACGGTCCGCGGCCGCCCCGCCGATCAGCGCTGCCGCTGGCCAGGCCGACGGTCCGCGGCCGCCCCGCCGCTTGCTTGGGCCCGGCCTGCAGGCAAGAAAGGTATACCCCCCAAAAGGGGTTCGATCGAAGACGAACAGGGCGGGTATCGAGGATTTGGGAAATACGCGTTATTGGACACTCGAGCAGATAAGGGCGAACAGTCTTAAAATGATTGTTGTTGTCGTTGTTTTTGATCTCTCACTATTGAAGGATAATTATCTTAAATTCCCCCTTCTGGTGCACATGGTATTTTTCGATTGAAGTGCCTTTTCCCGGTGCTCGCACCTAGTTTTTTTAATTAGGGAAAGTCTTGAGGCTCAAACTGTGTTGCTGGTCCCCGGTTCACAACAACAACAACGGCCCCCGCTTGATACTTCTTCACAACTTATTGAAGAATCGCGTGCCCTCCCGAGGCTTTCTCGTCTTTTATTCAAGAATCGCGCTCTCGCTTGGGACTTTTTTACCATTTATTCAGGAATCGCTCTCTCGTGTGAAGTGCCCCATTGGAAGACAAGTGTTTGAGAGTCCTGAATCGTGCCTCAGCACCTTTCAACGTCGCGAATATGCGTGATTGTTGCGTCCTGACCATCCTAAATCTTGCGAGGGCGCTATGTTTGGGATTTTCATTCCGTGAATACACGTGGGTGTTGCGTCTTGATCGTCCTAAATCGTGCGAGAACACCATGCTGGGGATTTCAACAGTACTAATCCTGGAGACTGTTGCGAACTTCGAAGTCGAATCTGCGCGGCGCTGCGGCGAGAGCCAGCCTTTGAAAAGGAGTCGCTTTTCATTATTGCCAATGCTGCACACTTCTGCGAGGAAGGTGCGCGGCGCTAAGGCGAAAACTACATTTTGAAGACGGGCCTCCCTCCGTCCCGAGGGTGTTGCAGAGGCGAGAGCCACATGTTGAGAACGGGGTGCCCTCAATTTTTATGAGGCTGTTACAAAATTCAGGCTTCAGGATCATAAGTTGTGACGACGTCTCCGGCGAATTGCCCGGCTCGCCCCACCGGCACGTCTGGGGGTGCGAGACGGAGGATTAGTGTATAAGGAAAAGGTGTGTAGGAGGAGGAAAAGGAGAAGGAGGAGGAGGAGGAGGAGGAGGAGGAGGAGGAGGAGGAGGAAGAGGACGACGAGGAGGAGGAGGAGGAGGAGGAGGGGAGGAGGAGGAGGAGGAGGAGGAGGAGGAGGAACACGGGTTTCTTTCTGTCTTTTTGCCCTGGACGCGCACGTCTTTTTTTTTCTGCGCAGGCCAGGGTCTCGCGTGTTGGCTCACCTGTTGCAGTGTGGCCCTCACGTGCCTTTGGGCGTGCTTGGCGCATGTGGTTGGGCTCCAGTGGCACGATTGACTCTCCTGTTTTCTGGGGCGTCCTTTTCCACACGCCTTGGTCGAGTGACGGCCCTGGGGCGTTGAAGGCTCAGGAAGGCTTGCACATAAAGCTGAGAGGAGGAGAAGCAGAAGCTTGAATGCACACCACGTCTCCTGCCGGGGGCACGAGAGGTGCGCAAGACTCCTGTGCCCCCCACGAGCTCGAAGCCTGTGCGTCCCGCCCGACGCGAGGGGCGAGGCAGAGTGCATACAGTGGAGACCCATGCCAAGAAACACCCTTCTTGCCTCCAGGGTGCCCTGGGTTTCTTGGGTTTCGGTGGTTGTGTTATGGGAAGAGTGAGTTTCCCACACCAAAAATCAATGGACGTCCTGGGGTCTCAGGGTTGGGTTTCTTGTGGAGGGTTTCTTGTGGACTGGCCTCCACTGTAGACTCCCCTACCACAGGCGGCACGTGGCGACCCGGACGAATGGCGTCCCTCCCGCCGTCGGCTTCCGCCGCCTCTGCGACGCGCCGACCATGGACGCGGACAGCGTGGTCAAGACGCTGGCGGAGCTCGAGGCTGAGCGCAGCGGCGACCCGCACCTCCTGCGGGCCCTGGCCAGGCGCTTCCACGACAGCGCGGAGGAGTTCTTCCCGCCCCAGATAGACGCGCTCCTGGGCCACTTCGCCGCCCTGGGCTTCTCCGACGACCACCTCCTGGAGGGCTTCGCCGGCAGTCGGAGAAGAAACATCGGCGTGAACAGATCTTCGGAGCTCCGCGCGGATTTGTTGGATCGGCGCTGGATCCCCCCTGCCTGGCGCGCGGAGCGCGCCCCGGGCGGCGCCGGAGGCGCCGCCAGGGGGGCCTCGGCGCCGATCCGTGAAGCCCGCGTGGAGCTCCGACGGGCCATGTTATATCATGCTCTTTTTGGCCGCCTCCAGGCAGGCTAGACGACGTGGCCTCGGGCGCCTCCCCGCGCCGGCTGGTGCGGCTGATGCGGCACGGGGCGTCGCTGCGGCTGCGCCCAGAGGCGTGGCTGGACCACGTGCTGCGGGAGGTGCGCGGCCACCTGCCGAATTTCGAGCACGGCGTCCCCGCGCTGCTGGCCGCGCTGGCGGAGCTGGGCCCGCGGCGGGACACGGAGCTGGCGGAGCTGCTGCTGACGCAGGGGCTGCTCAACGCCGAGCGCCTGGGGGACGGCTACCTCTCGAGGCTCGAGGAAGACAGAGCGGAGTAGACGTCAGGTTTTCGACGGTCCGCGCGGATTTTGTTGGATCGGTGCTGAGCCCGCCCTGGCGGCGCCTCTGGCGCCGCCCCTGGCGCGCTCCGCGCGCCAGGGAGGGGCGTCCAGCGTGGATGCAAGAAATCAGTGCGGAGCTCCGAATGTTATTGTCTGTGCCGCTTGTTCTTTCTCCAGAGGCTCTTCGAGTGCTGGAGTCGGCACTGGCTGCCGCACGGCGAGGTGGAGGAGAAAGCTGCAGCCCTGGCCACGGGCGACGCCAGCGCGGCGGTTGGCGACGGCGACCTGCGGGACGGGCTGAACCTCCTCGCGGGCCTCCTGCGGTGTGACCGCGGCGGGGAAGCGTCGCTCCTGGAGGAGCGACTGGAGGCCCGCATCCGTGCGGCCTCGGCGGAGGAGGCGGTCGCCGCGCTGTGCTGGATGCGGCGCCTCGCGGTCCAGAGCGGGCCCCTCTGGCTGGCGTGCGCCGACGCGGTGGAGGTGGCCCTCGGCGACCCGGCCTTCGTGCGTGACAGGCTTCCCGACGCCATCCACGCGCTGGCAGCCCTGGCGGGGCGCGGCGCGGGCGCCGCAGCGGACGCAGGCCTGGTGGCCGGGCTGCTGCGCGCGCCGGAGACGGCGGCCGCGCTGCCGCGGCGCAGCGCCTCGCAGGCCCTGCAGATGCTACACGCGGCGTGCTTGCTGGGCGCGGCCAGCGGTGGGCCAGCAGCGGGAGGAGCTGGTGCGGCCGCTGGTGCCGCGCTGCTGCCCCTGGGCGCGCTTGCGACGCAGGCTACGCGCCTGTCCCGGCAGCTGACGCTGCCGGAGCGCAGGACGCTGAGGCTCCTTGCAGAGGTGGTGCATGCGGGCCACAGCGAGGGGCCTGAGCTCGCGGCTCGCCTGGAAGCTGCGCGGTGCCTCCCAGCGCCGCCGCTGCCGCCCCTTGTCGACACCGAGGCGGAGGCGGACTGGGCGCCCGTGGAAGTGGGCGCCGAGTCGCTGCTTGTGCGCCCGAATGATGCGGGTGAGCAGAAGCGGGGCGCGCGCTTCCTGGCCTTCGGGGACGTGTTCGCGGGGCCGCGGCCTTCCGAGGACTCTCTGGTGCTGGCGCCCTCGTGCAGCATGCTCGTCCGATCGCTGGAGCTTCAAGGTTGGCAGGTCGACATGCGCGTGAGGGCATCTGAGTAAGCATGCCTGCCTGCTGGCGCCGTTCTGGAGGCGCAGTTCGAAAACCGCCCTACTGCTGCTGCTGCTGCTGCTGCTGCTGCTGCTGCTGCTGCTGCTGCTGCTGCTCCTCCTCCCTCCCCCGTCCTTCTCCTCCTCCGTCTCCGCCTCCGCCTCCTCCACCGCCGTGGCCTGGCGTGTGCACACTCTGCGGCCGCCCAGGGTGGTGAGATCGGTCCGTCCGTCCCTGTTGCTAGTCCTGGTCCTCCCCCTCCCCCAGGGGCGGCAGTGCGACTGGCTTCGTGTGGTGCGAGGGCGGCTTGCCTTGGGCTTTGGCCGAGTCGAGGCACCCCCGTGCGAAGGCTGCCTTTCGCCCCCCCTCCCTCCCTCCTCTCCCACCCCTTCCCCGCACGACCTCCTGTGCTTGGCCAGCAGGCCCAACAGGTCCTCCATGACCTCCGCCGCCTGCCAGGGCACCTCCGCCTGCCCTGGCTTTGGGTCGGGCAGGGCTGGGCACGCGCGGCCGGCTGGGGGGGGGGGCGCGCGGGGTGGGTGGCTGGGGCCCCAAGCAGACACGACCCGAGAGCCGCCTGCCTCGTGCGCCGCGCCGAGGGCCGTGCCGGGAGGGGGGGGGGGCCTTCGGCACCGTGGCGCCCCCGCGGCTGGCGCCCCCTGCCACCTGCCGGGCCTGGCCGCCCCGCTCCCCGCCCTCAAGAGGCCAACGGCAGGGCTCGAGCGAAACGGTGCTTTGGCGATCTCGCACGCCGCTTTCGTGATGGTCTCGTTGCGCAGCAAAGGCAGGGCGAGTGCAGAACGGAGGACAACGAAAACGAAGACGAGAACGAAACATGCTGTTTGGCGTGAGCCCTGGCCAGCAACACATGTGCACGGGCGCGGTCCCCTTCCGCTGGGCTGCGTCTGAGCACGGTCGCTCGTGCACGCGGGGCCACGGATAGCTTACATGTACCATGAGGAGACCCCTGGAGGCCTCGCGCGGCGTGCAACAATTGTTTTATCTAGTCCGCACGACCGCCACGTCAGATGCGGGACGACGTTCGCTCGGCGATGTTCCGACGTAAGTCCGACGTAAAGCCGACACGAGCCCGACGTACATCCGAATCCGTCCGATGTGAGCCCGACGTACGTCCGACGTGGATCCGACGCAAATTGGGCCTCAAACTGCCGCGCAAGGCTCGGCGGCGAGCCCGGGGTGGAAGCGAGAGGGGGCGGGCCTTCTCAGAAGGCTCTGAAGTCCCCTGGCCTTCTGAGAAGTTTTCTAAGCCCTTCCCGAAGACGCAGGAAGCCTCTCAGAAGGCCCGAGGCCTTCCGAGAAGCCCCGCCGCCTTATGATCTGAGAAGGCCTTCTCTTTCTCACTTCCCCCCCTCGCTCGCCGCCGTCCCATGTCATGTGCACTTGTCTTTCCCCGCTCCCTGTCCCCAGGGACGGCCCCCCTCCCCGCCGGGAGCCTTGAGACGGGGGTCCAGCCGGAGCGCCGGATCTTGCGGGACCCTGCAAAGCCCCAGGTGCACTGACTCCGGTTCTCGGCGGCGTGCGAGGGGGGGAAATGAGAAGGAGAAGGTCTTCTCAGAAGGCGGCGGGGCTTCTCGGAAGCCCTCTGGCCTTCCGAGGGCTTTTTTCCGGGAAGGCTTAGAAAACTTTTCAGAAGGCCGGGGGATTTTCTGTTGCATCTTCGGGGGACCTCGCCTGTCCCAAAAATCGGTGTCTTTTTGGGGGCCCGACGCGTGCTCGATGCGGACTCGACGCGGATTTGGCGTGGATTCGACGCGGATTCGACACGGATTCGACACGGATCCGACGCGTCCGACATGGATTCGACACGGATTCGACGCGGACAGGGCCGCGACGGGACAGACAAGGTCCCCTGAGGATGCAACATAAGGGACTTCAGGGCCTTCCGCGAAGGCCCGCCCCTCTCATTTCTCTGGGCTCGCCGCCGAGGCTCGCGCGCAGGATCCTGCAGGATCTTGCAGGGTCCTGTTGCCCCCAAATCGATTCTCTCGTCAAACCTAGAAAAAGAATGCGAAATGCTCCGTTGCTCCGTAGATCAACGGAAAAATCCACGTCTTTTTTGAGTTTCGCAGGCGAACCCAATTTTGGGGTCAATCAATTCTGTAGTCGATCCCCTACCTCAGACCCCCGACGTCGTGATTTTTCACCACGTCGACCCCTAGAGGTCTGGACCCCTTCCCCAGGACCCGTTTCTCATCCCGAGTCGTTTCTTGACGGTCCTGGGGCCTGGTGAGGCCCCCCTGGAGGCCGAAAATGGCGAAACACCTCCCGGCGCGATTTTTTCACAACGCAACTCGATCCAAGCCCGACTGCCTGGGGTGTGGATCGGCCCGGGTCCGCAGGTGCCGAGCTCCCCGCCCCCCGGGCCGCCCTTTGGGCTCGGCGGCCCGACCCTGGCGGGACGCCCACGCGGCAGCCTCCTGCCCGCCCAGAGGGTCGGGGGCCGTGTGATCGGGGTGGCGATGCGGACGCGACGCCGTGTCGGTGGCGAGTGTCTCGCATGCCTCCTCCTCCCTCCCCTAGCGCGACGAGATCTATGCATATCCACTGCTCCTGGCCAGGCCCATCCTGGGCCCAGGAGCGGTGTATATGCCTCCCTGGCCAAGCCAGGAGGGCGTATACACAGCTCTTGGGCCCAGGATTGGCCTGGCCGGGAGCAGTGGATATGTATAGATATCGTCGCCCTATCCCCGTGCGTGTCGCTTACCGTCGCTGCTGTGGGGGGAGGGCGGAGGTCGGGGGGAGGGGTCGAGCACGTGCGATCCTGGGTCGGAAACGGGAGCATGTACATTACTAGAGGCGGGCTGTTATTCAATCCCAGGACTCTGTGAGGCTTGGGGACGACGTTGGGGTGGTGTGGTGCGTACTTATTTTTGTCCCCATTTTCCCAGGGAAACAACGAAACATGTATGCACCAGGATCCCGTATGCACCAGGATCCGCTTTCCTGTGCGACTGCCGGTGCGGTTCGGTTATTTCCTCAAAACACAGAAATCTCGTGTTGTGAAGCAAAAATTACGACGGAAGGTTTTTCGCTATTTTCGGCCATTGGGGGGGGCCTTGCTGGGCCTCGGGAGCGTCAACAAAATCGGCTTAGGATGAAAAACTGGTCCTGGGGAAGGGGTCCAGACCTTTAGGGGTCGACGTTATGAACAAAACATCATGACGCTGGGGGTCTGGAAACCGGGGGGGGGGGGCAGCGATGGCTGCCAAAAAGGGGCCCTTGAGGGCCCCTAAAGTGGCCCTCTCGGGCCCACAGGGGAGGGCTTCAGGGCCCGAGAAGGGCACCTTGCTCCTCCCCCATCTATCGCCTGGGATGCGCTAGTGAAGTGTCCCGCCCGTGATGCGTCGAGCAATCTTGAGGAGATGCTCTGCGCGTCAATCTGAGTGCTAATTTCCTGTGGGCGCTCCGGTCCCAACCAGCGGCACCTTCGGGGTGCGCTGTGCGGGTTGCAGTTTGCAGTCGCGGTCGCAGCCCATCCATCAGGGCCGCCTACGATCCGATTCGATTCGATTCGATTCGCTGGCTGGGGCCGCGATTCCAATTCGATGCGATCCGGCTCTACTCACCGGCATCGGCTAGGGCCAGCCGGACGCGGGGCGCGGCGATTCGATACCCATCCGATCCTGGACGATTCGCTGGCGATCCGATCCGCTCTCGATCCGATCCGATTTGGCGATCCGATCCAGCGCAGACCTGCCCATCGCCCCCCCCGACATGGCGCCGCGCCCCCGGCGGCCGCTCGCCCGGGCCCAGGCACCACAACAGCAAGACCTTCGCGCAGCGCATCAAGGGGCAGTGGCTGGCGGCGCGCGGCTCGGCGCTGTGGCGCGCGCGCGGGCGCTGTGGCGCGCGCGCGCGCGCGGGGGCTGTGGCGCGTCGGTGCGCGCGCGCGCATGCATGTGCGCGGGCGCTGTTGCGCGCATGCATGTGCGCGGGCGCTGTTGCGCGCATGCATGTGCGCGGGCGCTGTTGCGCGCATGCATGTGCGCGGGCGCCGTTGCGCGCGCGCGCGTGTGCCTGTCGACTTCCCGCATCGCCCGCTCTCGCCGCCCCGGCCGCCGCTCCTGCTTCACGACGACCGCGTCTTCCCCTCTCGCCTCGGGGCTCCGCTGCGCTCGTCCCGGGCAGGCTCGGGGGCGGCCAAGAGGGGCCGATGAACAGAAGGGAGGGTGGACCCCTCGCGCTGTGACAAAAATCGTGACGTGAGGTTTTTCGCTGTTTTCGACCCTGAGTGGCCCTCACCGGGCCCCGGGACGCTGTGCTAGTGCTCCTTAGCATGGCGTGCGAGCCTGCATCCCGCCCATCCTCTCAACCCTGTCCGGCCTTACACGGCCCATGCCATTCGGCTCCCGCGCTCCGCTCCCGCAGGGGGCCCGCCGTGTTGAAGTTCTCGAGGCTTCGGGTATGCAGCCCGGTCCGGAAGGATCCCCTGGCGAGCTGCCTCGATCAGGGAAGCGCATGACCATGCAGGAACGCAAAGAGAGGACAGCCGCCAGACCGAAGCTCGGCCTTCGCGGATTTGTCGTTCCGAGAGCCTCTTGAGCGTCCCTCGGGGCTATCTTGCGGCGGTCTTGAGGGAATGTTTGATGCCTTTAGGGCTCTCT